AGAATACTCAGACTGAGTGTTACAAAGAGATTGACTGAAGAGTCTCTCAATCTCTTATAAGAGAAGAGAAAGAAGAGAGAGAAGAAGCCTATACAACTACTCTCTATAACACTGAGAGTTAACACTCTGAGAATCTCTGTGAGAATTCTTGAAGAGAGTATCTATAATCTAAAGAGTTTGCAGACTTTGAGAAGCACTGTGAAAGACCTAATGTAAGAGAAAACAGAGTATAAGTCTTCATAAGATCTTCTATTCAGATTGTCTGAACTGCAACTGAAGAATGAATATACTCAGTATATTCAGAAACTGCTTACAGCAGAGATCAATTATGCAGAAATAAAGAATTAAAGAGACTTAAATAATCTCTTATAAAGAGAGAGCTGAATTTATATGCCTGTAAATGAGTTTCTATATATAGAACTTATTAAAAGGCATTATAACTCTTCTCTAGCAGATCATTTTACAGATACTAGAACTCATGAGTTACTTATAAGAAAATACTTCTGACTGAAGATGTGAGAACTTATAAAGAAGATAGTGAATTCTTATACTATTTATCAGAATTCGCGGGTAGTGCAGTTCAGATTATATAAAGAACTTACTTCTCTACTCATTTCATGAGAATCTTGGAAACAGTTAGAAATGAATACTCTTATAAGTCTCTCTGAAAGCAAGAATATATATAATACCTGCTTTGACAGTGTGCTGATGATAGTGAATTACTTTATCAAGATAACACACTTTATACTCATCTGTAAGAACTTGAAGTCAAAGAATTTAACTCATATCTTTGTCTGTGATGTGATTCAGTTGCATGAATTATCTATGAATATTATCTCAGACAGAGAATCAATCTTCATAGAAGAGTTCTGATCTGACCTGATAATTATACTGAAGATCTCATGAGATCTAAGCAGGACTTTTCATCAATAGACAGATGATCAGATAGAATATCTGATAAGTATATTAAAACAGTATCTGCAGTGCTTTGTTAATTATAATCAGAATAACTGAGTGTATTGATTATCACTTACAGAGTTTATATATAATAACTCAAAGTATGTAGCATAGATAAAACTCTCTTTGAGATACTCACTGAGACTCATTCATAAATAATCTTGATGAATCTGTAAGAGTATACTATAGAGTGTGATAATGTCTGTGAACAGGCTGAGAGAATTCAGAAGATTCAGGAGAAAGCTTATAAATTCTTGAGAAAGACTCAAGAGTATCAGAAGAGATACTATGACTTTAAGCATATTATAAAGAGTTTTAAGAAAGATAATAGAGTCTGACTGAGTCTAGAAAATATTATCATATAAAGATCTAGTAAGAAGCTGAATCTCTTGTGAATAAAGTCTTATAAGATTATGAAGAAAGTTAGCTTACAGTTCTATAGATTAGAACTGTTATCTGAGTTATAGATATATAATATTTTTCATGTCTCTTTACTCTGTGAATATAAGAAATTCTTAGAAGAGAACTCTGTAACTCATCACTCTATCTACAAAGCACTAGAGAGTGAAAGAGAATATCAGATTAAAGAGATTATTAACTCAGAGAAGTGAGATTATGAGCTCTGATGCAAGATTCAGTGATAAAAGTATTCTGATAAGATGAATAAGTTCACTTGAGAATTATCTGAGCAGATAAGACATCTGCAGAAGCTGAGACATGACTTTTATACTGTGAATTCTGATAAGTCAGAATGACACAGTCTTCACTAAGAATCTGATTATAATAAAGATATTAATACTGTTATTTATAAGTTCTAGTCTATAAGATAATGAATTTCTACTAAGATGAACAGTCTGTGATATATACAAGAAAAGAAGAAATTATGCTCTTATTAAAGCTAAGAAATAAGAAAATATAAATAGAATTATGAACACAATTTGAAGATTAATAAAGAAAAAATAAAGAAAATTCAAACTCATATTCTTATTATCTATGACACTTAATCTCTTCATAACTATCAATTTCTCTTTTTAAAGAAGCAGAGAGTATTATATCTGTGATACAGATAATTGTTGCATTTAATACAAAGACTGTCAGAAATGCACAGACTTCAGAGAAGTCAGATATCAGAGTGTATACAGTTGTAACAGAGCCTTAAGAGCTGACTGTCTGTATATATAATCAGATATCTCTTACAAAGCTGTGTCTGCTCTCTCAGTTATGCTGAAGTATTCAGCCTGAAAATAATTGAGATATAAAGAGAGAGCTCATCTGTTCAGATCAACTTCTGTCACAAATTCATGACATTGATATTGTCTTAATTACCTGGATTTTGCAGGTATCTGAAGACTCATCTTTCATTGATAATAGAATTGCAGAAATGCACTGCAGCATGAGAATCATTGATGAGAAACCTAGGCATATTCACATATGTCTGATCAGAGATTGTGTAAGCAGAAGAGAGATGATTGTAGGCCTGTGAGACTGCAGAAGACACTGATAACACTGAGAGCTTTATAAGAACTGTCAGCTAGAGTCTGTAAGAAATTACTTATAAGAAGACTTACAGTAAAGAGAGAAACTGCACTGCTTAAAGTCAGGAACTGGTCTGAGAAAGGCATGGAATTGACTGCTGACCTGAAGATCAGGTGCAGTGATGAGACTGAGAGAGATGAAGATACAGTTATAAGTGACAGCATCCCTGCTTCATCAGCTGATAAAAAGTAATTAAAGAAGTTATAGAAATGCTTACAAGAAGCTCAGCAGTAATCAGACATTATTTATAAAGATATTAAAATTGAAAAAATTTTTATTCTTAGAAAGTTCTTGAATTAATATATAGATATTATTAGAAATACTCTCTCTCTATTATCTGAGTGAAAACACTTCATGAATAAATAAGAATACTCACAGTTTATGAAAATGAAAGCTGTTATAGAAAAAGAAAAAAGAAGATAAGATTTCATAGATAGATCTGAAATATTTATACTACTTTAGAGAGATTTGCTTACACTGTGAGTGATTTTATAAAACAGTCAGATCACTCTAGTAAATAAGAGTGATTATGAATCACAGATCTGAATCTTTCTATATAACTACAAAGAGTAATTACAGACTGCAGATATCTTAATTCTACAATTCTATAAAGTTAATGAAAGAATGAAAAATTCCTCATAATTCTACAGTGTCAAAGAACAATGATTCATAAGAATGAGTGAAAGATCAACTTATAAATACTTCTCTTTGATAAGAATGATCTCACAGAGAGTGATTCATCTATGAGATGAATCTGTGTGATAATCATATAAAAATCTTGTGAAAATAATTGAGAGTTAACTGAAACTCTTCTATATAAAAGATGCAAGATAAATCTGTGTAATAGTCAGAGAAGAATCTATAGATTATAAAGAATCTCATAAAATAAGAAACTAAGTGACAGACTCTTTTCTCTTCACAGTAACAAGGAATTTTTCCTCACTGAGATTTTTTATAGATGTGAAGGATTTTTAGTGAGTATCACTGCAGTGCTGAGCTGATTCTATGAAGTCACTCAGTGAAAGACTTCACAGATGAAGCCTTAGAGAGAGAGAAATATGTAAGAAATCTCACTTCTTATAAATTCTTTATCTCTATTTCTATCTCTTGTGTAATTAATAGAGCTAGCAGCTCTTGACTACACACAACTATATAGACTGGAGTTTGTGAATACTATTCATAACTCAGCTTGAATACTATTATACATTTAATCTCTACATTTTATCTTTCTACTGTGAGTACTACTAGTAGTTAACAGTACATATCACGCCAAGCTGCAAACACCCGAATAATCGCCTGCGAGTACTTATTCTTACAATAATCACTTATAAGATGATTGATATAATCTTCTTCTACACACAGAGATTGCTATCAACAGTTGAGATGCTGTTTCAACAGATATAAGCTCATTCTTTCTTATATATGAATATCATATAAAAGTATTGAATCTTCTAGAGATTACACAGTTCATATCAGATCTCTGCAGTTCAATTCAGATCACTGATAATATAGTAATAAAGCTCTGAGATGCCTGTGATTGAGCAGAGATCTTCATAGCAACTGTGAAACAAGATTAAGAGAATTAAATCAATGTTCACTGAGACTCTGCTGAATAATATAAGATAGAAGATCTGATATAATTGAATCTTAAGAATATATGAATCACATGTTCATCTCATACACTAGATTACTGTCATATTAAGTATAAAGTGATAGAAGTTCTAGATAGTCATAACTATTATCTTGACACATTATCAGAGATTTATGATGTATTTTATACAAGCTTGCTTTATCATACTATCACTGATTCATTTTCTTCTCAACTGACTTTTGACTGACAGTCATCAGATATTATAGAAGAAGATAATGAGCTTGAGTGAGAGATTGAGAATATTCTTGATAAGAGACTCTGTGATCACAGCTGATAATATCTTATGAAATGAGTCAGCTATGATTAACTGATCTGAACTCTGAGTTTCATATTATCTGAAACAGCAGTTCTTGACTGATGAAAACTGCTTCTGAAAGAGAGGACTAATGTGACAGGCTGTGTTGATGATTACTACACCTATTCTAGTCACGTGCCACCTCAACCTATTCATTTAGTGTAACTCGCGTAGTTAGATTACAACACAACACAACAATGTTATTCTTCAAGAGGTTATAAAGTTCTTCACAAGTAATAAATAACTGCAACAACATGCTAAATTGACATCTCCACACATCATTACAAGCATGCCTAGATGATTTATTGATTAATTGAACTCATGATGAACCTGAGATCAGGTGAAAAGCCTGACTTAACAAAGAATTATATGCTAACACATAGAAGAAGAAATTCACAAATATCTGAAGTATAAGAAGGATTGAACATGAGCTTATCAACATCTGCAACAAACTGAAAAGTAACTGCCTCTGAGGTATTTGAGCTGAATGAAACCATTGCAGAGAAACAGTCTGACAAGTTCAATGTATACAAAGACTCAGTTGAAGGCATCATTAGTGAGATGTCAGACAATGCAGAGAGCTCAAGTGACTGGAACAACAATGGCTCTGTGAGTGAGAAGACTTACATGAGACTTGAAATTGCAAGACTTCAGCATGAGATTAAGTGTATGAAGATCAGTAGAGATGAGACTCTTGTAAGTGATGAGATAAGAGTGAATCTGACAGAATATCTTCAATGAAAAGAGAAGACATCTGTTATAATGAAAGTTCTTGAAGAATTCAGAAGTCAAGTAAGACTTATCAAAAGATCAATAGTTCTCACTGAATTCATTAACTACTCAATATGAAGAGAGGAAATTCTTTTAACTACAGAACAGTCTGAAACTGATGATATTCTTAAAGATAATGATCTTGGTGAGAATGTCATCATGAACATGCAACATTTCTGAAAAGAATGCAATCTTTGATTATACAATTACATGTGGTCTGCAATTGTCCTGCAGGCCAAGGCTCATTTCACTATACTCAAGAAATTCAAGTTGTCTGCTTATGCTCTATGAACTATCATAGAGAATAACTTTTCTGAGAGGCCTGCTGTCTGCAGAACCTGTCTGTTTGAGGAACTGATTAGCATGACTACTAAGTTAAAAGGCTCAGATCATGCTTTCATTGAATATCTGATTATCATAAGAACTGATTATATCTGTCTAGAATATGAGATCTCAGATGTCATGTTTTTTAACAGACTGCTTACAGGAGTTAACAGAGATTGAGCCTCATTCATAAGGAATTGAATGAATCAAATTGACAAAGATAATACTCAACTCTTAGAGGATAATTTTATGAGCCTGTGCTGTGATATTCTTTTACAGCTCTCTGCTGTGAATGAAACAAATACTGATATGTCTAGAAATTCTATCAACAATGTGTAAGATAAGGATAAGAAAGGCAAGAACAAAGAGAAAGACAATGACAAGAACAAGAACACTGAATTCAAACCTGAATGTAGGGATAATGACGCGAGGACCTGCTATCATTGTCAAAAGATTGATCATATTCAGACTGACTGTTGAAAGAAATACTCTGAGAGACATTCTTTGAACTTCAATACAAATAGGAACAAGAATAAAGACAAGGATGTGAAGAATACAGGTGCTGCTCCTGTTCACAATATTATGAAGTAAGTATTTTGCATCAAAGAAAAGGCCTATGCAAGTGACCAGACAGGAAAAGATACCTGGATCCTAGACTCTGAATCGGGCGCCCACGCCACACCCCACAGGGATCTTGTCGTGGCAAAGCCTCAGAAGGTGAAAGTGATGTTGGAAATGACAGACAGAATGGTAGTCTCTGCTGCAGCTATAGAAGATACAAAGAGTTCAGTGAAAGAAGTGAATATGCTGTTAAATGAA